TTGAATAACACTAAACTTCAACAGAAACAAAGAGTAAACTACTAATTTAACGCGCCGAACATGACCGAGCAGAGCGCGAGAACTCCCGAACGCAGTTTCGGTTTCGGTCGTAGTTTCGGCAGGTTTGCCGACGAAACAGAAACTAAACCGAAACTCGACCGAAACCGAACTTTCGGTCGGACACTACGTTCATGTTATTTGAGGATAACACCGATACAGTACCTGCAGACGATTAAGTACGTAAAAAATTCCCTACATTTATCATTTCTGGTAAAACTAATTCCAACAATTGGTGATCCAGATGTGTTCTTTTGAGTACATATTTATAATTGCCCAGATTAACATGCAATTATGAATGCGGGTAACAGGATTATCAACACATTACCTACTGCAAATATTTTATTATCTCATATTGACAGGCTTAAGGCCCCATATCAGTCGTTTCTAGAAAAATGATTTTTTTTAATCTTATTAAATGGATTACTCTTGATGTATACAAGTTATAAGAGCGTAAGAGAGAGAAGTCGACTGTCTAATAGCGTATTAGTTGTTATTTTGATCGAAAAAGAAAAAATTACCTGAAGCTAAGCACTCGAAACACTGCTCTAAATTGCAGGGATTAACCCACCTGGGTTGTTTTCCCTTAATTATCGCAACAGGTTCCCGTATTGCAGCCGAATAACGAAAATTTCTTTGCGACACAAAGTATACCATATTGAGTGCCCTTACTAGCACTTTTGTAGTACGGTCGGATATTATTTTCATTTTTGTGTAACAATTGGGAAACTTAACGAATAGTTACACGGTAAAAAATATAAAATATATAAATATCTAAAAGATACACAACCGATGTAAATTTTTTTTTTGTATTTTAAAACTGTCGGTAAATGTCATCTGCTTTTTTAAAAGTTTCACTGTCGTCCAGTTGTCATTGCTACGCGATGTAAAATAATTAACGATAAGAGAATTGTGATCAATAAAATTTTAATACAGTATTGAACTTTATAAAAATTGCAAAGGATCTGGAAACAACTGTAGTTTTGCTGTAGATGACAATAAAGCCTTTACTATGTATAGTACACGATGTATCAACATGTATTACAATAATTTATTTAAATTCTTTCTGTAGTTGAACTTTGGTCTTTCTAATAAGTATTTTTGATTATTTTTCTTAGTAACCTCTAACCAACCTCTCCCTCCGGCTAAAATAAGTTCGTATCAAAAGATTAAAACGATGAAAATTATTGATAAATTAGTAGTAATTCCGTTCACTTAGAGAAAGGTACACGATGCCAGATCGATGTGCGCGGATTACCGTAATTGGCATAACTCTAAGAAGTTATTTACAGCGTGAAAGGCTTACCTTTGGACTTCGATCGGAAACATCTGACAGTAAATAACCGACCATATTCCGAGGACTCGCCTACGATTAATATGCGTTTGTGCGCTGTACTTTTCTCTAAGTGAACGGACGATATCTGCTAGTAATTGGTAATCATACGCCAAAAATATGCACATTTTTCGTTTTACAATTTTATCATTACACAATATGTATAATTGTATATGTCACTGAATTTACACCACCATAAACATTATTATTTACATCTTCCTTTTGTAGCATTATGTTACTGATAATTTAATGTAACGTAGGTACATACATATAATGCACATTTATTATCCCATTTTACGATAAAACTGATAATAAATTATGAGAGTCTATAAATTGTAATTATTTGGTGATTACTGAAAAGAGCAGAGTACATAATAAATGTATGTTCAATTTGAATGTTCCGGTTAGTAAACCTTTTAAGTGAAGTGCAATGTACATACTTCCAAATAAATTGATACTTAAATAGACTTTGGACCCTGTACATATTTCACGTGAGTTCACCGCGGAGAATTGAAAATTAAAATAAAACAGCAAAACAATTTTTTTTGTTGTTCAGAATGCCAAAACGCCTGAAAAATATTGGCCAATTCCAGTACTAATAAGTACTAAAGTGATAAAAATTGGTCTAATGTGTCGCTGGACATAGGTGTACACCACTGACTACGTAGCCCATTCAACCAATACGGCACAAGTAGGGTTGCCATCTTTTCAGGCTTTACATAAAGTATTTCTCGACTAAATGGTTAAAAAAAAAAGTACTCAGCATAAAAATAAAGTATTTTATTTTTTGTTTTTAAAAACATATTTTTGTTACACATAGCAGCCAGTAATAAATTGCTGTCGCTCTTAAATGCATTAATAGCCTCTAAACATAGCAAACAAAAATTTAAATAAACTAAAAGTCCATTTTGAATTAGTTTTAATGAAGCTTTATTCCTGTCGTCCCGCCACTTTGCGTTCGTAACAGGGAATACTCTTTCTGTAAATGCTGAAGTGGCCGGAACGGACAGCAAAACTGACACTACTTTGAACAGATTTGGGAAATCAGGTTGTTCGCTAATATGGCTTGCCATTTTTCTGTGCAATATTATTGATGTAAAAATACTCTGAATTTCGAATAATCGCTTACAAAATTACGATGTTTACTTAAGGCCTTAAATAAAGTATTTTTGCGTACTTTATGTGTCTTGTAAAGTATAACGTACGCACAGTCGAAATAGAGTACAATACTTTATAATAATAAAAAGTTTAACCAATTTATGTTGTACTTTCTAAAAATTCAAATATATCTCCAAACATAATTTCAATGCACTTTAAGGAAGGATCCTAAACTAAAAAGAAGAAATGAAAAAACATTAAAGCTAAAAAAGTACCCCATAATTATTTTAAACTACTATAGACATAAAAAAGCAAAATTATTCAATAGTAAATCTTAAGAATACTTTTTTAAGTTATGTGCTTTAAGTGATTTCCAATTTTGATTAAAATGTTAGTGGTTTTTTCTATTGGCCACAAAGTCATTTGTGACGATTAAATTTTTTACTGCGTTATTATACTATTGTATAGGTACTACTAAAATAAACAAACTAACATTGTTTTACATTTTTATAGTAGTATTTTTAATAGGTATCTAGGTTTACTTCACAGTTTAACTTTGCTGCAAAAAATCTCAAATAATAAAATTTGACGGGGTATTGTTTTTAAAATGTGTTTTATTCTAATTAACATCACAGATTATTTAAGGTGGTTATTGTAAAACAGAAAATTTTTAATTTAGAATATCAAAGTAAATACATTGCTTTGATCATGTTTATTTGGGCATCTCTTTTATTTTCTAAAGAACAGATAAACAAATTTCTCAAATATAAAACGAAGCTATCTTAATAACTACAGCTATACCCACAAAGCAAGCAAGACCTTGAAATTTTAATGAACTGTTTGCATAAAGAAACGTAAACCCTGCCTGTATAATGCAATGGATTTCTTCATTAAAAAAAAAAATAACCAACAGGCTTGCATTTAGTTGTTAATTTTATTTACAATTAAAGAACGGAGCCTTTTAAAATAACTTTTTAACATTTTAAGCACTCGAATATGAAGCATTACTCAAATAAAGATAATAAGATATAGTACATTCGTATCACATTTTTTTGGTTACATAATAATTAGAGTAAATAAATCCTAACTGTGTGAAAATGTTATTTTGAATTTTACTTGGAGCTAAAATACCTTGTTCTTGATATAACATGCAACTTTTATAATTTTATTATAGCGTCTATTTGGGAAGAATGCCAAGGTAACAATTGGGAAACTTAACGAATAGTTACACGGTAAAAAATATAAAATATATAAATATCTAAAAGATACACAACCGATGTAAATTTTTTTTTTGTATTTTAAAACTGTCGGTAAATGTCATCTGCTTTTTTAAAAGTTTCACTGTCGTCCAGTTGTCATTGCTACGCGATGTAAAATAATTAACGATAAGAGAATTGTGATCAATAAAATTTTAATACAGTATTGAACTTTATAAAAATTGCAAAGGATCTGGAAACAACTGTAGTTTTGCTGTAGATGACAATAAAGCCTTTACTATGTATAGTACACGATGTATCAACATGTATTACAATAATTTATTTAAATTCTTTCTGTAGTTGAACTTTGGTNGTTATTTTGAATTTTACTTGGAGTTAAAATACCTTGTTCTTGATGTAACATGCAACTTTTATAATTTTATTATAGCGTCTATTTGGGAAGAATGCCAAGTATTGCGAATACAGAACGAAATCAAAGATTATGAGTTGAAGACAAAATTATAAGTACATATAATACTACGATAAGAAGTGATAACAGTAAAAAAAATCAAAAATTAAAGGAAATAAGTAGATTTAAAACAATAATAATTCACACTTCAACTAGTTGTGAAAAATGTTTAACATCATAAACAAACACGAAATTACACAAACATATCGGCATGTTATTATTATTTTAAACAAAATTAAATAAGCATGTTATGTACAACATGCAATCTGTATTAGTAACACGGCTTACTACTATTACTTTGTTAATAGTGGTTACTAATTAGGTCTCTTATTTCCAAATAAACATCATTGTAATAAGTTTGTCTATTTGAAAAACAATATATACAATTTGACCCACAACGTTATCGAAAGTAGCTAGGAAAACCAAAAAATAAATAACCTGTTCATAATGGGGTGACAAGCTGAAAAATACTAAAACATTTTTGAAACCAGAGCCCAAAAAAATGTATTAAATTTCTTTTTAATTGTTAAAAATTGTCTGATTGTTATGTCAGAAATAACGGTGAAATGAACATAATAAGGTAATTTATTTACAAACCATAACTAACGGTACAAAGTCCTCTATAAATATTACAGGCAATTGAAAAATTACTTGCCGTGATTACCACTACGATAAGAAAACTAATTGTAAATGTGTTTTAGTATTATGAAATTCTTTTTTATTTACTTGTATATAAATGATAGGTACATTTAGTAAATATGTATATACCTATTGTAGGTATGATATAAATAATTTGCAATTCTACATGTTTTAAATACATTAGATTAGAATGTAAGATTTTGCTTACCAGACTGTAGATTTTCAAAAACTTCACCGGCATTATTTACATCAATCCACTTGGGTTGTTTACCCTTTATCTTTGCAGTAGGTTCACGAATTGCAGAGGCCCATTTGACGATAAATCGCCGCGAATATTGAATTCCTTTAAGACTTTTCAAAAGTCCATTACTTGATATCGATGCCATTCTTAACCAGCACAATTGTTAATTATTGTTTAATTACGAATAACTTCAGGTAATTGAATAAGCAAACTCAAAGTATGTTTCGTTCAATTCTCCCACTGTGAGTTCAATACACGTATAATAAATGTGTTCAATATATAAGTTACGCTTTTATATTCGTAAAATGTAAAAAATTAATCGAGCGGATAGGCGTTGCACCGCGCACTCCCCGCGACTAATTTTTCACTGTTTATGCTGCCTATTTTTACGTATATGTACTCCCTTGTGAACTCTGTACTTTCTTCCTTATAAATATGTAAATTTTGCATTGATGCTGCCATCTTCGAAGCAATTGCATAACAAAATACAAGCTTGTTAATGTTTAAAAAAGAGTACTTATTTGGTACATAATGAATGCAATAATTTAATAAAAAACAATGGCCTTTTAAGAGCTTTCAAAAGTCTAAGGCTAAACCAATTTTTAACTTAATGTAATGATTTGTATTAAACTTTAACCTTTATATTTTTCAGTATTAGAGGTATATCTAGAGAGTGCTACTTTTGGACACCATGTATATATTGTGTTGATTGTTTTTGTTTTATTTAATTTAAACAATTTACATTTGTTTTGTACAAAACAGTTTTCTTTCAGAATTATATAGGTAGTAATCTTTAACTTTTAAAGTGCTTTTTTGCCATCTGGCGCTGTAGGGATTTAAATTATTATCACGTGATTGCACGTGCATCAAGCAGATTTGCAGTTGTCGGCTGGCTGTTGTTTGTTGTAGACGTGTATACAAAAATGTCGTCACCATCGACTATTAGTCCTAGACAGGCTCAACAACAGCATGTTTTAGCGGTATCAAGAGATTTTATTTCGCAGCCCAGATTAAGTAAGTAAAATTTTGCAAGTGCTTCTATTTCCTGTGCTTTGAAGTGCCTTAAATGGTGGGCGGGTCGATAATATAATGGAGGACAAATAGTGTCAGTTCTGTCATATGATTGCATGTTTTATTTTCACAACGATTATTCAAAATCAGAAACTAGAAATCACTTTGAAATACAGGCCCTATTGTCACAGTCATTTTACATAATTATTAAAATTTAGGTTATAGAATTCATATTCTAATCAGCTGTTAATGACAGTCATGTGACAGTCTTGTGAATGCCACTCCTTGTTTATTTTAGCTATTTCTCACTCAAACAATCCTCTTTTTGTAGCATACAGGACAGTATCTGGTGTAAACGGACCCCTAGTTATATTGGACGAAGTTAAGTTTCCTAAATATGCAGAAATTGTGCAGTTACGTTTGGCTGATGGTACCATCAGATCAGGGCAAGTTCTTGAAGTTAGTGGTTCAAAAGCTGTCGTGCAAGTATTCGAGGGAACATCTGGAATTGATGCTAAACACACTCTTTGTGAATTCACCGGTGATATTCTTAGAACACCAGTATCAGAAGATATGTTAGGTCGAGTATTCAATGGATCTGGAAAACCCATTGATAAAGGTAAAGTTGTTGTTTTTTTTTCTGTTTTATATTATTTATTATGCTTCAATTGTAATACTTTTAATCCGTAATTGGTTTCTTAATTAAACACCTACTTTTTGTAGATGTAATATTAAACAATAGGTCATAATTGAAGAAATTTCATAGGCTTTAAAACCTTATGTTTGTTTAAACATAACTGATTATGTAATTTCAAAAATTTGTTTTCAATCATTTGCTGTTATTGAATTTTTTAGATATTATGCACATTTTAACTTACAATTAGTGGAAATGTAATATCAATGAAAGATTTTAAGGGATGAATGGTATTTCATTTCAAGTTTTTTATTATTTCGTAGGACCTCCAATATTGGCTGAAGACTTTTTGGATATCCAAGGACAGCCTATTAATCCATGGTCTCGTATTTATCCAGAAGAAATGATTCAGACTGGTATAAGTGCCATTGATGTGATGAATTCAATTGCTAGAGGTCAGAAGATTCCTATTTTCTCAGCTGCTGGTTTGCCCCATAACGAAATCGCTGCTCAAATTTGTCGACAAGCAGGTCTTGTCAAAGTACCTGGTAAATCGGTGCTTGATGATCATGAAGACAATTTTGCTATTGTTTTTGCTGCTATGGGTGTCAACATGGAAACAGCTCGGTTCTTCAAACAAGATTTCGAAGAAAATGGTAGGCGTTATAAAGTTTCTAATAGAATCATGATTTTGTTCTTGAGAATTGTTTTAAAATCCTAGTTAAACATTTTTTCTTTCGATTTAATTAAATAGATGTAGATATTTCTAATAGTTATACCTATTTGTATATTATTGACAAGAGTATGTTTTTTATATAATAAAATGCCACTACTACTGTGGCATAAAACCGTTTTTAAGTAATAATTGGATTCACAAAAACTACATGACCAAAAGTATAATAAGCCATATATATCATAAATACCTTCATAACTTTTAAGAATTTTTTAATAATTAAAGTTTAAAATGAACGATTCCGTATTGAGGACTGATATTTGGTGTAATTACTAGTCATAATGGGTAACTTGCAATAAAATAATAAAACAAAAATTCATCATATACTTTTGTGGTAGTGGCTTGCCTCTTGTTTTTTATAGAGTTCATACAATGTTTTATTTCCGTAACCAAAATAAATAATAATGACGATAACATAGGAAGTCTCCGCGTTAAATAGGAGTTTCCCAATCATTTATTTTTTGCAATTTTTTTGTTTTTTAGGTTCTATGGAGAATGTGTGCCTTTTCTTGAATTTGGCCAACGACCCTACCATAGAAAGAATTATCACTCCTCGTTTGGCCCTTACGGCTGCTGAATTCATGGCTTATCAGTGCGAGAAGCACGTTTTGGTCATCTTAACCGATATGTCTTCTTACGCTGAAGCTTTGCGTGAAGTTTCAGCCGCTCGTGAAGAAGTACCCGGTCGTCGTGGTTTCCCTGGTTATATGTACACAGATTTGGCCACTATCTATGAACGTGCCGGACGTGTTGAAGGCCGTAACGGATCTATTACCCAGATTCCCATTTTGACTATGCCTAATGATGATATTACCCATCCCATTCCGGATTTGACTGGTTACATTACCGAAGGACAAATCTACGTTGACAGACAATTGCACAACAGACAAATCTATCCACCAATTAACGTGTTGCCGTCTCTGTCTCGTCTTATGAAATCCGCTATAGGCGAAGGAATGACAAGGAAAGACCATTCTGACGTATCTAATCAGTTGGTAAGTTTACTGTCATGTTTTAAGCTTTTATATTGTATTTGAAAAAATACCCGCTGTGGTGTATATTTGGATATATCCAAATTAAATTATTTTAAATTGTACTCTACCAATGCAGTTTACATGTCGGATATGAAAATTTTATATAAGCGCTTTCCTCACACTTTATAGTAACAAGTCCCTTAAGGTTTAATTTTTTACTATTATCACGTCAAGAACGTAGAAAATAATAGCAACATGCTTTCTCTCATGGGCTGCGTTTTATTTCAGTACGCATGTTATGCTATTGGTAAGGACGTACAGGCTATGAAGGCTGTCGTTGGTGAAGAGGCTTTAACCCCCGACGATCTTCTGTATCTTGAATTCCTCACAAAATTCGAGAAGAATTTCATTTCGCAAGGCAGTTACGAAAACAGGACTGTGTTCGAATCATTGGACATAGGCTGGCAGTTGCTCCGCATCTTCCCCAAGGAGATGTTGAAACGTATCCCGGCGGCGACACTTGCGGAATTCTATCCAAGAGACTCGCGTCATTAGTTACTTAATTCTGTTGACGAGTTAGTTACCGTTGTTGTATTTTTTAAGTTTACCTTCGTCCAAAAGTAATTTCTCTTATCAATGTACTATTCAATCCTCCTCCACTTCTTCCACGAAGGAAACGTCGGCATAGTCGAATGAAACGGGGAAAGAAACTGCATTTGCTTTATTAATTATAATACTGCTTTGCCCCTACAACTCCTGTTCATTCTCCTATTTCTCCTCTTTCTTTTTTGTCGTCCATACCGTGATTATTTTCCGTCGCCATCATTGGTTGTTCTTTTTTCGATTTTTAATGTAATACAGTGGCCATTTACACCCCCAGTTTTATTTTTGTCGTCCCAGTGCCGTTGAATGTTGTGAGCCGGCTGCATTTCCTCTGCAGTTTTTTTAATTTTAGTCGAAGCATTTTTGAATTAATTGTGTAATTTCTGTTTTAGTTTTCAATTTTATTGATTGTATTTGCAAATATGAAGGAAAGTTGCCCAAGCGCAGTATTACGTTCTCTTTTTAAGGATTGTTTACACTGTTTTACATGTTTTTACATGTTGCCACAATTTTTTAAGGACCAAACAAAAAACAGAGGAATCCCTACTAATTTTTATTTTCAGTTTTTCTGAAAGAGTGCCTACTTGCTAAAATAGAACTGTAGAGTGTATATTTTTTCTTTTTTAGTTTTTTTTTTTTCAAAAATTTAAAATATTTATCCGCCTTAGGAATTTTATTTTTTCGCCGTGAACACTGCGAACTGTATATACACACAAAGATTATGTACTTTGTAAATTATTGTAAAAAGCCCAGCTAAAGAAAAAGACGGAGGTATTTAGGTGCACTTTCCTCGCTTTACTGGTAGAAAATTTTATTTTAATTGCACATCATTTTGTAAATATGATACCGCACAATGTCACATTATTATTTTTTTTCGTTATTTTATTCGAGAAACATATTACATAATGATATACAATTTTTTTTGCTTGCATAATCGTTATTTGATCGATTGATTGATATTATAGCATATTAATGTTATTTTTGGTGCTGAAATAATTTAATTTTTTAATCATCGCGCGACTGCTTTCACGATGTGCCCACCATCATCAAAGAGAAGACTATTTGAGAACTGTGTACTACATTCCATTTATTGATTGAAAAGAAAAATATAAAGAGTAATGATCGATAATGATGAAATAAATGGTCGAATTCGATCGCATTGTATAAAGCAATATACCTGCTTGTTCCAGTATTTTTTTGGTAGATTAATTACTGTAATAATAATGATAATAATAAATGATGATAATAATTGTAAATGGTGAACGGAATTTTTTTCATTGTAATGTATCGTGGTCAGACACGCTATCGTCTTCATGTTGTTACAGTTATGTAGTTGTTTCCCTACTGTAGAAAATTATGTATCTATAATTAAATATTCAAGTGTTAATGGGTTTTTACTTTGCCAGCTCTTAATTAAATTTGCTTTTGTGTAGTTAGTACGGGTCGTATTTTGGTCTTTTTTTTAAATATATTTTTTAAGTCGGTATGAGTTTAAAAAAATTACTTTTTTCTTTCATATATAGGATAGATTACATAATTTTGCTTTTATTGATTTATTTAAAAGTTTCCAGTAAAACACACAAGACAAGTCAAAAGACGCACCCATCATCTTAAAATTAGCCAGTCAAGATGATATAATTTTTTAAATAAGTTTCAAATTACAATATAAATTTGAAGTGCTGTTTTGTATTACTAGTTATTACTAAAAGGTGGCGCAAAAATGTCCATGTAATGCATTTTTAGTAGTTTGGTAACCTGTATTTAATTCGTCTGAATTTTAAAGATGTCAGCACAAGTATAATTTTCATTAAAAATATGACTTATCTACATTAACTATACATTAAACCATCCATATCATGATGCTTTAGTGTTTTTTTGCCATCACTGCAATTTCATAAATGAATTCAAGGCAAAACATTAGTTAACTGTAGTAAAACAAAACTATTTTATAAATTAATTATGATTTACGAATTACGAACTTTTGGTGGAAATAAATTATAGTAGTAAATACATTTGATGTGTATTTGGTATTTTAATCAGTATTAAGAATATATATTTTTGTAAAACTCATGATAATTTTTAATTTAAAATACCTACTTTTGTTTTACTTTTCCCGAATAAATCTGTTTGGCAACATGGTAATAAAATTATAATCGCTGGTTTTGTTTGAGCGCAACTTGTAGTGGAGAAGAAGAAGAAGTCATTGTGGTCGTTTTAAAATGGTTTCGGTTATGTTTTCTATTTCGAGTTATTTTAATTGTTAAAATGGATAATGCTGGAATTAAATCGTAATTTAGAATTTAACGTATTTGACATTTTTCCTTACTAGAACGAAAAAACGGTGAGCTAGACAATAGTGGGTATTAGAAGATGGTGGTGTGTGTATTCTTCATATAAAAAGCGTTTAAGAAGAAACTATCCCTTAAAGTCTGTAGAAATCGAGTCAATATTGGTAAGCCTCATGAAATCGGCTTTTATTAACGTTGTCATAATGTATTTCTTCATTTTAACAACATAAATAACACATATAGTATACTTAACCTCCAATTCTGTCTGCCGAAATTGAGTTCTTTTTAATAACAAATAATAAGCAATAATTTGTTTATGTTTGTTGTAATATAATAAATACGTTGCATTTGTGCTTATTTAGACCTCATACAAGATTTATATTTGGGGTAAAAAATGCCATGAAATCATTGCAGTTTGCATTCATTCTTAAGACTATTTTCAATTACGTTAGGTGCACCTAAATACTAGATAACTTACCCAAAATAAAACGTTTTAAGAAGATATAAAAATATTGTAAACCTATGGTATCTTTCATGTTACCTATGTATATTTTATGTACCATGCAAATTTACGGAATATTACACAAATGTTTATCAAATAATTGAAATATTTAATGTTAGGTGGGTACATCCTTAAAAACTATTCCCGGCTAATCTGTATTTTTCCTTTATAATTCTAAAGCAAATTTTATGTAAAAGATAAAGTGATTTGTAGTATTTTGGAAGGTACAAATAACTGCGACCTATCCATTCATTTACTACCTGTAACTTTGAAATTTTAAAATTTTGTCTAAAAAAAGTTTACAAGTAATTTCCATGAGAGTTCCTTTTAGATGGACCATTAACTATTAATAAGTTTTACTATTTTGTTATCTACACCACACCACTTTTAAATAAGTATTTAAGCCTAAGTACTCGAAACATATTTTTTATTATTTGTCTGTTACTTACGTAATAAGATTACAAGTAATTAATGCAATCTAAAAGCTTTTAAATGTTTCAATGAATTTTCTTCAAATCCTACAATTGTTTTGAGCGGTTAGCCCTTTTTCAAGAGTTAAACTACTACTCTTGATACACCCGAAACTATTGTAGAGTTTTAATAAAATTCGTTGAAACATTTAAAAGCTTTCACATTGCTTTCAAAACGTTTCATAAAACTATCATTCTATCAAACTAAGATTCCATCTTTTTTTATTATTGTTGCAAGTTAAGTACCTATACAATTTTCTGTTGTTTGTTTTATATTTTCTCTTAATGAGTGTTTAAAACCATTGCTGTTACATATTTTATCCTGTAAGTCCCTTATCGATTAATTCTTTACGGTTCAATAGGTATCATTTACCTATTATGTAGGTATGTTATAATTGTTTAAACATATAATAGTACCTTATTAGTTACTATCAGTACCTATTGTTGAGGCATTATTTTACACAATGCATTGAGTGGTAACATACATACATACTTTTTTCTTGTCTGTGGTTTATAATAAAATATAACGCATCTATATTTTAACTTTCATTCTCTCATCGTATTCTGTCTACCATTAACTCGAACCACTACATTTGTCTTTTTTCAAAGAATCACGCCACGAAGCGTCATTGTCTCATAAAACAGTGCGACTTGCAACAGGGCCAAATCCAGTACAGTTTGATATAGTTTTCACAACCGTAACTATCCTGTCGCCTTCGCCTTCACTTTTCCGCCCCCGCCCTAAAAAAACTTGCTTAATACCTTACGAGGTCTCCCTCATCCTTTTACACCCCAATAAGAGAGGAGATCCCCGGTCTCATCATTTGCACATTGTCTTTAGTTTCAACTTTAAGCATAAAGTTGAAATAAACAAGTAAAATAATTCATTTCAGTTAGTTCAAAAAGATAATTTTCGTACCTGATAGGCACGTTCGTATAAATTCTTCAAAATATTCTTACCTGGCTTTGGGTATGATGAGGGTGAGTAATTTTAGCAGTACACGCATTTCCTATTGGTTTTATGTGAGGGATATAATAGTGCTCCTGTCTGACAGTATAATTCTGCAGGTCGAAGAAGCATCTTTTATTCACAGTTCCCATTTGTTGTAATAAAATTTATAAATGAGTAATTAAACCACAAACTTGCCAAAAGAAAAATGTAGCTTACAAAAATTTATTCTATTTGGCTTCTCATTCTTATTTTTCTCCTATATTTCACCACAAATAGGGTATCCAGTTTTTCTTAATTTTTCTACCGTCATATTTAATAGAAAACTATACTTGAGAAACAGTCTTAAAAACATCCCTTCAAAGAGATCGAAATTGCGTTCATTGCTAATCACGTAGAATTTTTGTTAAAATAATAAACAAAATAACTATCTACGAACATTTACAAACTAGTAATTAAAAAGATTGTTACGGTCCTGTGCAAGGAGTACATTAACTTCTCTGTCGCCCCCCCCTTCTCTGCGTCAAGCCGAAAAGAGACAACGTTGAGACCAAGCGGGATAGACAGAGGTGTAACATGTTGGTTCCACCACCGGCGTATTTTCAATCAAAGAATTTTCAATTATAAAGTAAAAACCATGTGCGTGTGTTTACGATCGGAGCGTCCAGTGAGATGTTATTAGTAGCAGCAGTTTTGTTCTGTAACTTTTTATTTCGCGTTTTTATAAACATTTCCACTGATAGCGTGTTTCAAATGGTACCGGACGTAAGCGGGATCTAATCGAATAGGATCAGATACTATTACTTATTATGTATATGCTTTTACCAGTTGTTGGCTCGATGGAGGCAATTCTGGAATTTATTTTGTTGTTGGGGTTCCTTTATTGGATTTATCCCGCGTTGTTTGTTGAAGGAGTTTTAAGGTTGGTGGCGATGAAAATTTAAAACTCATAATGTTTAGAGTTGACAATATGGTCCTACCTGTTTTTTTTTTACAATAGCCGGTTAATAAATGCACATATAGTTGAAATGAAACAATTGTAACTATTTTCGGTTGTAAAATAATTATGAATAGTTACTAAGTTTACTAAATCTAGTTTTAAAAGAATTCGGATAGGTGTGGTCCTAATAAAAAATGTTAACTGTATTTACTTGAATGCATTTGGAATTAAAAGTTAGAAATGAAGAAATAATTATTTCTTTAGTTGTAGGTAGGTAGATTTAACTTTTCACAAACTTCCTAACGATTAGTAACCGTTGTGTAATCATTTTCGAATACTGCATTTGTAATTTTCTTGTCAAATTAAGTACCTATTGCTTTGCAAATTTCTTTTTGTGCGATTATTTGCGAGTGACATTAGTTATTTTTCAATTGAGTTAACGTAGGTAGTTTGACGGTGACATTTTGAATAGATTTGCCCTTCAATAGTTATATTTACTTGCTAGCTGATTACGCGCAAATTTTATCAAATAAAAATAGGAAAGGAATTTTTATTATGAATGAATATGCTTGGGGTTTGTTCTTTTGTTTGCCGGACAGGCTTTTTTGACTGATAACGCTGCTTATTTTTTGATTTTAAACCCAAAAATAACGCGAATTTATTGAATAGAGCGTATATTGGTAGAGGTATTTCAAGATCCCATGGGCCGCGAATTGCGCCGGGAGCCAACCTTTTGGCATTGAAATAGTACATTATGATGTTATCATCATAAGGTTGTCAGTCTTAAGACTGATTGGACACGTACCTCCACTCTTTCCTATCCTGAGCTAATCTTTGCATTTCCCTAAAACTAGAACAACCCACATCATAACTATATTTACGAATTGTAATTTATTTCTAGGTCTACCTCTACCCCTCCTCTTCCTCTAATAAGTTTCTGACTAGTCCTTGATGCCTGAGAAGGTGTCCTACTAATCTATCTCGCCTATTCTTTATTGACTTCTGTAGAGTCCTCATTCTCCTATTTTTTCTAATACCTCTAATGATGTTATGTCAGTATAATAATGAAGGATGGACCTGTACTGAAGGGTACTGTTTTTAAGAAGTAGAAATGTAGACGTCATTGAATGGGTGGTGTTTTGTCACTGCCTAACCCAATCTTATACTCCATGAGATTCTGAATTACCTCTACACTCCAATGCATAAATAATACGGTAAAAGTGCGTATGTGGATGATC